TGGGCAGCACGGACGGGGGGCGTGGGCCGCCGGAGACACGAGGCGGAGAGGGGCTGCGGGGGTGAGACTTGTCCCAGGCGAGGCGGCCGGTGGACAGGGGCGAGGGGCCAGCCGGGGTCCCCATAAGCCATAAACTTCCCCGCCGCTGCCAGGGAGCCCCGCGCCTCTCCTGCTTGGCTGCGCTCCAGCGGCTCGCCCCGCCGGGAAGGAGCTGCTGGAGAGCAGCCGAGCGGGAGAGGCGCGGGGCTCCCTGCCGGTGGCGGGACACACCGCATGTGCCCACGGCAGGCTGGGGGGTGGGAGGCTCTGCGGGGCCGGGAAAAGCCCTGGCTGCCACCCGTTGCCCAGCCTGGAGCCCCGGGGAGCCCCTCGGGAGACCGGCCGCCGCTGTGGCTCGGCTGTGCCAGCCCCGGCCCCCTGCACGCCCGCGCCGCGCCGCCTCCGGGGTCCCCGGCTCACATGCACCGCCAGTGCCCCGCGGCCAGCCCCGGGCTCGGGGGCTCCTGCAGCCACTTCCATGGGAGAGACAGCTTTGTCCCTGCCCGGTCCTGCTACAGAGCTCTGCCTCCTTGCACCCATCCAGCCTGTGCCCTGCCCGGGTCCCCGCTGGAGCCGTACGCCCTTGCCCACCCGGACTTCTTTGCTTCCCAGCGCTTCTTATCGGTCCCCCCACCCCGATGCCCTCTTTATCCCCAGCCCCCTCTGTATCGGGGCCACCTTTTGCCCTGGGGTGGGCAGGGCGTGCGGCCGGCGCGGCTGGGGCCTGCTAATGCCCCCCGCCCCTGCAAAACTACTTTTTTTTGCTCCGCCGCCATTTTTTTTGCTCCGCCCCCCCATCCCCCGCGTCCCGATATTTCATCCCTGTGATCTGGTCACCCTAATCAGGGAGTGGGGGTGATTGAAACTTTTGGAAACAGGAGTTTGTTAGTCCAAAAATGGCAATTTTTAAAATGAATATTTTCACCAAAAATTGTCATCTTAAATAAAAAGTTCTTGGAGAATTTTCTCGGGATATTTTTATTCACTTTTGTTTTTAATCAACAACATGATGGAAGTGGATACTGATGTCTGCAAATGATTTTTTTTAATTTTTATGTTTTGGATAAAAATGGCAATAAACATTAGTTGCAAAAAATGTGGAAAACCACAAAACTGCTGGGAACTCTGCAAAACGAAAACCGCCATGAAATGCCCATGCTGTTGGCCATGTTCTTTTTCTGTGTATTGATCAACTCATTTAAAGACCCCCTCTGTTGCCCCCGCAGGCAGCTACAGGATCAGACTTTTTCAGTTTAAATCGAAGTGGCCACCCACTTCAGCTTCAGGTGAGATGTTACAAGTATCCGAAGAAGTGGGCAGTAGCCCACGAAAGCTTATGTTCAAATAAATTTGTTAGTCTCTAAGGTGCCACAAGTACTCCTGTTCTTTAAGTAAGAATCAGGAAGCCAGAAGCTGCAGAATCAAAGGAAGGAAGCAGCACAATTCCTGGTGTGGCTTGCATCAGAGAGCTTGTCCCAGAAATGGTGGTGCAGGGGGAGAGCCGTGTCACAGCCCATGGGGGCACTGATCATATGGAGAGAGCTCACCCCTGCAAAGGGGTTGCCACTTTTGATGAGCTGTGTTTCTTGAGCATTTCCCAAGTCCCAAAACGCCAGCTGGTCGGGAATTTTCTAAAGAAACATTATTTTCATTGGAAAAATGCTGATTTGACAAAAGCGAAACTGTTGGTGAGAAAGGGTGAATCTCCCACTTAGAATTTTTTCTGAAAAAATAAACAAACGTTTGGAAGTGTCAAAATGTCACGTTTTGATAATTTCGAGTCAAAAACCTTGGTTTCCCAGTTTAAAACAAGTTGTCTGCTTGCAATTTTAGTTACTTTATACTAAAAAAAGATGAAAAAAGGTAAAAAAATTGAAACATTTGAAATGAGCGAAATGACACATTTCATTTGACCTTGTCCGGATTCTTTTTGGGATGATCCGTGTGCAAAATTTGTCGAGATTCTGCTTTTTGTTCCAATTCAGAACAGAAACACTTCCAAAAGCTCACAAGATCTTGCACGACGGAAAAGCCATTTCCCACCCAGCTCTATCCAAAATCTCCGAATGCTTCTCATTGCCCTGGTCCTGTCCCTGGGTTACCAACCCCACTGAAATCCCCGACAAATGCCCTTTGTTATAATTAGACCAGCAGAAACCTGGGCTCCCGGAATTCTGTTTATCTCAAATATTTCTGGCTCCACTTACTCTGAAGAGCTTTTAGGACAAAGTTCACTCCAGTGCAGAACCTGGATTCCAAATAGTTTTCACCCAGTAGAACTGACTCTGAATCTTGACTTGGCTGGGCTCCCAGAAAGCACTCTGCAACCTCCAGTGGGTTAGATAAGAAGAGAAAAATCTTAGCAAAACTCCAGGGATCCTCCTATTTTTATCTGTCTTTCCAGCTTGAATAGCCAGCTTTATCCAATGTGCTGAGCAGCCATGTGGTAGGTAGAGACACATCTACAGACCTTTACATTCTACACAGCAACAAGAGACCCCACGACAAGGACCTGATATGAAGGGGTATCTTGTGTGCAATTGGCATGTGCACTGTAGGGCTAATCTCCCCCAAGGTCACTAGCAAGTGTCAGTGCATTCAATCAATCACAGATGAGACACAGATTCTGGAGCCAAGGGGCGCAGGTGGCAACTTCTGGCCCCAAAAGTTCCAGCCATCGCTCATACAGGGTATTGTATCCACCAGGGGGTGAGATACGCCAGCTGATCTACGTTGATTCACTGGACACCGCAGACAACAAGGTAGCCAGTAGCCAGCCAATTTGGCCATGTTGCACTGTGGAACTAACATGCCCCAGTCTCCCACTGGGGCTAAACTGGAGTTCAGAAAGGGTGGGAAAGGAAGGAAGCAGAAGGGGATCAGAAGAGCTGGGACAGAGCTAAGCTCACCCATGCTCCCACATATGAGGGCCACACATGAGCCATTTGCCACAGGAGCTAGTCCGGCCAAGGTACACGGTGAGATATACAAACTGTTCCGAATGCCTGTGAAGGGATCCAGAAAGGCAAAAGAGATGCATGAGCCAGGCTGGTGAGACTGACAACAGATGTCTCCATCACAGCCATTGCTCCAGCCAATGCTTGGAACAGCTTCTGAATGTGGGTCACTAGAATACCCAGCTGCTCCAAACACAAGTAGAAAAAATTCCCTTCCAGCAGCCCGCAGCACTTCCCGCTCTCTACACTTTGCCGCCAGTAGGCAGAACCTAGGGTTACCATATTTCAGCGAGCAAAAAAGAGGACGGGAGGAGCCCCGCCC